TTCTATTATGGACTTACTACATGAACTAACTACATAGAACGGGAAGTTAGCGTGACAGACTAAAACACGTAAATTAATCGGTTATAGGAATTATCCCATTCGGCGCAGACAACCCATATTACCGCAGTATCAGTTCCATTTACAAGGTGATGTTTATTATTTTCAGTGTGTATATATGTCCTTGTGCTCGAATTAGTAATAATCTATTTATAAGAAGAGGACCGAGTTACGTACTTGCTCCACCGTGTGCTACTCTCACTACCCAGCGTTCAAGTCTCCGAGTTCCCTTCGCTACACCAAGCCCTTCCGTCTTCACGTATTTGCTCTCTTACTGTACACCAAGCATCTGTACTGTCTACCGTACAGATGAAACGCAGTCAATGAGGAACTTAAGAAGAGGAATGCAAATCAAAAGGAAAGGTTTATATGCTGCAGATTAGACCAACATGTAAGTGTCAGCACTTCATTTTAAAGACACTGCTTATGTTCTTACGCGGATATAGGTTACATTGCAGAATAGATAAATGTGAGCACACTTTCTGTCTCTCGTGACTTTCATTTTTACTGACAGACGTATTACCAACACTACAAGTGGATTTCAATAGAGCATTAATAAAGAAGCAGTGCAGGGTCACTACAGCATGTACACACGTCACGAGACGGCATTTGAACGTTCTTATAAACGACGCATTACAGGACAATGAATTCAATGTCGGTTTATTGCTTCATGCCTAAATTCACTCTCATAAAATGTTAAAACAACGGACGGTCGGAACTTTATTAGCAAACCTTTGATCCAAATTTTTACTAGCTTTAGCCGGTACATTCCACTATCTTATCGAATAAGTGTTTTACTTTAACTATGGCAACTCGCTTTAACAAAAGAACTCATTAATATTATAAATAAAATTATCTGTGGTCGATTCCCCAAACAAGACGTTATGATATTTCTGGTTTTCACGACGGCGAATATTATGACCGCCGTCTTAGAGGATGTGACGTCGTATAGTTTGGTATATGACTAGCTGGGTTACAGGGGAATTGTTGCCGATTTGTTGAGCATTATCTTCTATTCTGAAGGAGTATTTTAATTATTAACTGATGGTAACACTCTCAGCATCTCTGGCTGCATAGCGCCGCATGGCGGAAAAGTGAATTGAAAATGACATGGAAGCGCTGATCGCGTGCTTAATTACTGTACCGGCATTTTCCTGACGGGAATAAGGAAAAGAAAGGAAACCTCAGTCAGTAGAGTCAGTAGACCAGTTAAGATTCAGAACGGGAAATCCCCAATGAAAGTGAGAAGCTTTACTACTTGGTACATCTTACTTGGTCCTGAATTTGAATCCGCAGGTTCCTCCGAAACGTTGGTAATCGTGTACCAGACTATATATCGTCACGTGCCAAAAGAATACAGTATTAAATAACGCGTTATAGGATATATTGAGCCCACATTTATAACAATAGCAAATATATCATAATTATCGAATTAAATCAATTTTATATTGCGAACACGTCTACAAATAGACAGATTTACTTAGTAGTTTCAGTATCTATTCCACGTTTCCAGAACTTAAGTCCATACAATAAAATTGAATGTACTATAGTTCGACATATAATACACTCTTTTAATTTGAAATTAGAACTTCCCAGTAGTATGATAAAGACGTTTAAAAATACCAAATTCTTCTCTTTAACCATATCTGAAAGAGGTCAAAAATCGTAAACTTAATTAATTATAAATCCCCCTACTAACAACAACTGCGTAAATTCCGTCTTGACTTTGTCAGATAACATCATTTTATTTTCTGATGAACGTAACAGATCCACACAGTATCATCACCACCGCTAAAGGCAACGTGTAGCTTATTCCTGTTTTGGATCAAGCAGCCGTAGTTCAATCAGGTTCGTGCCTGGAGAATAGAGAGTCGGAGTACAGAAATTGCCACTCACATCCGTATATTGGCGAGTTCGATGTGCTAACTTCTGCTCTCCCTTGCGTCTTACTGACTTAGTTCGTGCCTCTACGTTACACCGTGCAGTCGGTTTCACTGAATCCATTTCTGCGCTGTTAGAAGGAACTACAACATGACCGGTCTCTGTTTCTCTCTATATAGGTCAGCACAGAAAGCAACTCAATATATTACTTAAATAGGAAATGAAGCAATCGAGCTATGCGATACAAAATCAGTAACCAGCTCAACAGATGCTCTATCAAGATTCTGGGAGCCCCGCAAACAATTTCACAACACAATTAAATCTACTTACATGAATTGTCTTGAATCATGTATCGTGATGCGAAGGGCTTTCGATCGACTCCAATATATTGAGAGTTATGTAATTTGTTTTGTGTGAAGTAAGATGATCTCTTTCTGCAATCTGAATGTTCGCTTGAACAAACGTTGTTACTACAATTGCATGCAACTGAATGCTTGTGACAGTCGATAGTATCTTTGTTGATATATTTGGTTAAGGAAACAAAACTAGACTTTAGTATTTCTTGTAGCTCGTGTTGCATAATATGTGCTACATACACTGTCTGCATCTGTCAGACGAGTGTAATTCATAAGTTAATATCTCCCTATTAAACGTCTATGTATTTATTTAGTTATTTAATGACGATTATGAGATGCATGTGTATTTACAAATAAAAATGCAGAGGTTTTCCGTAAAACAAAAAGAAAACAAACGTTTGTGTGACGGAAAATTTCTCAATTTTTGTCAACACGTTAAACAGGATGCAGTATAACAAGATTGCATCGAAAAGTGACAAAATAACTGTGAATAATGGACAGGTTGTTAAGACGATTACATGTCAGCACCCACAAATATCACGTAAGGTATTCTCAAAAACACAGTTACACAGCTCCCTCTGTTTTCCCAAGTGCGCCAAATCAATTTCAGCCCCTTTTCGAAATTAGAGGCCAGGTTTCGCAGGGAGGATATACATCAAAAATGAATAGCAAAATTGTCCAGAACTTGTGCTTCTTTTAAACCCATACACAGACAACAGAAGTTCAACTTGGTTCTTTGCCTATAGGCCTAAACTACGATTGAAGGGAAAAGATATTTCCTTTGCTTTTTCGCAACTCTAGTATACTTCATCCGAGCATATTATACGCGGAAACGTTGTCATTTTTATTCCATGCAGGAAGTCCTCTAACATATAGTCACTTTGGATGTTACGTGTTCCACACTTGTACCATACAGACAATTATTAATTCAAAGGTACAGGCTAAATATTCGATTGATAGAAGCAAAATTGTAAGTATAAATACAACACATCGTGACGCTACAATAAAACATTTCTAACATAGAATTTCTATTTTTGAGAAACTGACAATTGCTCAAATGTTGAAGAATTTCCCTTAGAGTTATTGGTAACGGAATATCCATTACAGTGTTCAAACGACTCAGCCGCTGGTTTCTATCCTGAGCCAGTTCAATCCACTCTGGACCGTCACACCTTATTTCATTATAGAATCCCAAGTGTTCTCTTATCATGAGTTTTCTGGAAAATATTTTCAAGACATTTCTCAGTTCCCCCCTTCCCTTCCAGCTCTTGCCTCGTGTTCCGTTCATCTCGTCTTCATCTTTTTTTTTGACGCCGGAAATACGTGTATTAAATGATTGGTGAAAATAATAAACTTCTCAGTATGTAATTTATCCCAACTTCCTAAAACGCGTACTCCCCCTCAGCGTATTCTACACCAAACTTTTCCTTTCAAATTCGAGGCTTGTCTCTACCATGCACCTTAAGTGGACGCTCTTCTACATTGACTTGCCACGTGATTTTGTTCTACCATTCTAACCTACATAGAGAGATTTAATATAATGATTCTGAGAACTTGGCGACTCAAATACAACAGTGGGGAATTCTGGTGAACTTATCTTGCAGCTTCAGTTTCGCAATATTTTTAATGTTCATTAATGTTCAGGAAGCCTTTCGCCCTATCCCAAATGTCCGTCACTGTTTCCGTTACCTTTACAGCAGCAGCGGCAGTGTGTGACATAAAGGGAAAACACTCTTTCCGGTGTCACGTAACAGCCTTCTACAAAACGAACGTGACCTTTCTCTTCAGTAACGCACTCGAAATTTAGCTCACAATTTCAGTTCTCTGTCAAGTCCTCGTACATATCGAAGACAAAACCTGGGGGGGGGGAGATCGTGTCCAAAATGTTTCACGGTACAGATATGTATGTAGGCTTCTGCCATGAGGAGAGTTTAGCATATCATAAAATTAGGAATTTCGTGGTCTATACTCGTCTAATTGTTATTAGAATAGGGAAGCCTATTTGGCTGCGATAAACTGGGCAAGTAGCTAGAATGCAGAGACAAAGAATTCCAACGGAATAAATAAATCCCTTGGAAAACGACACTTAAGCTTGAGAATAAAATGGAAGGGTAATGTTACAAATGTAGTTTATCTCTGTAATTTATTTTCATTACAGATTGCGTCCCAGTTTTCTTTATGGTAAGTTTATTCTGTCTTCCGATCGTAATGAAGTGGCTTGTGAATATGAGAATTGGCTAGAACTGGCTCAGAATTGCATCCAGTGCCGTATTTGGCGTTGAAAATCCAAGTTCTACTGCCTTCAACTTGCATAATTACATATAATACAAATGAAACCCAGGAATCTGACCAACAAATGACGAAGAAGATTCAGGATAGTTGATCTGGGCTTGGAAATCGAACAAAGTACTCCTGAATGCGAGGCAGACACATTGCTGCTTTGTGTTCAGCAAGCACTGAACACACCGTTCACCTTATGATTAATATATATATTGTTCTGTGTTGCTCAATCTCTTGATTTACGTGCTGGAATTGGATGTGAAGTAATTTAATTAATTATCTTTGGTTATCTTGCTCTTTCAATGACAGTTCGATGTGACGAACCAGTAGCTAAGGCTTTAGAAAAGCTTAACAATACAGAATTGTTCCTTCAGCCCCTTCTCCTGTAACTTTCACTTTCATTATACATGACAGGACCTCCCTTACCTTCTGCCAATGAATTACACGCTGTGGTGATCACTGGTTCTTACAAATGGTGTCTGTCAGAACGTGGTACTGCATAATGGTTGGAAGCTCTTTATTCTCTACAGACGCATGTTCTTTGCTTGTTCTTGAAGAATATACACTCAACGGTTCGGAACACGTTTATCCTATGTGAACGCTTTTCTGTCTTTTTATCTACGTATAAAATATTTTACCGGACTCACGAATCCAACGAAGTTTATTCTTTTCCTTCTTTGTTAAATAAGAACTTGTCGTAATACGCCCAAAAGAAATACTAACACTATTATTCCATTACATGTAATGTAGTCCAACTTTTCGTGCACAAGCCTTGCTTCAGCATGCTTTTAATTTTCCTTCCTCACTATTACAAGATGTGTGTATTGTTCGGCACCTACCAGTTAGTTGGATATGCCCTAATTAATTGGGACAATTAGACTTTCATTCCATTAAGTCTTCTACTTCGACTCCGTGAAGCCTGTTCCTTAATACTGTCCAAACGTGGCTTCAATGAGCATATATTCGCGTCCAATATCATACGTTAAATATATGTCATATTTTAATTTAAGTACGTTTACGTATTGAACATCACACGCCGATGTTTAAGAAAGAATTTGGATTTCAAAGATAAACACCCCCAAGAAACGTAAACAACGAGCCGGTATTAGTTAAGTACTAAAAGTTTTACGATAACTCTCATCACAATTGTAAATTAAATATTCATACACATAGTTTGAAATCTAACACCAAAGAAGAACTTTAGATTGTCCACATCATGAAGTTTCTTATTTCCTCTGCTTTTGTTGGCATGATCATTACACCCGTATCTTCTTCACGCGCTCCGCGGAATTCGCAATGATGGAACAGGAGAAACACTTTCTCTGTTATACAACAATTTTTCCCTTTCTTTTTCTCCTCTGCACACGCGTTTCACTGTCCGATGTACTTCACTGGGCCACAGTTGCTGACACACTGACTGGCAACTCGGCCATAACTGCAGACTAGTACAGTCCTGCAGTGGATATAAGACCCCCGTCCGTCTGTCTCCTTGTCTCTCTGTCTCTAACGGCAGACAAGTTGAGGTCTAGGCTACAGCAAGTAACTAGTAATATGAAAAGTCCTTGAAAGCATAAACGATATATAGCTTTAATTACGGTGATGAGAAACCCAGCAGTAATGCCGACAGGTAGTGACTTAAGTAATGTTGTGGTTGTACTGCGAAGCGTTTACCTTAACATAAGGAAGCGTGTGCATAGAGTTAACTGGTGCACATCCACACACTTGTGGCACGTGGTGACCCGGCTGCTCAAACACTGAGACCGCGGGCTCGAGTTCGAGTCGAGATGTGAAAATGCGCTAACTTTTCTGAATCTGTTTCTACCTTGGAGAGTTCTATCTCGTACGATATGACGCCGTGTAGTCTACTATATTTGTCACCTGCTTTAACGCTGGTTCTTTGTTCGGCTTATTCCTCGACACTGAAGATGGAAGTGTCTTGTTCCTCTGAAAAACGTCGGCTGACTTTCAAACACCGCACAGCGCTATATCCCAGAAGACAGAATTCTTCATAACCACCGCTGTGAGAGCATCAACTCCTGTATGTTTGTAAAAAGTAAAAAGGTAAATTTGTCACTGTTCTTAACCAATTAAGCACTGCGCCATAAAGGCGTATGGTGGAGTGGGTGTGTAAATCCATATTTTCTTGACCTCGGCACTAGTTGGTGGGTGGTCAACTTTACTCCTCTTCCGCTTCACCCCCGAGGAAAGAGCCCGCGGTACCCATTGGATAGGAGGCCGGGTGAGGCCCAGAGCCGGTCTGGACGACGTAGTAAAGAGAAAATTCTCGACCTTCCTGGGGCTCGAACTCCGACCCCTCTATCGTCCATCCCGTAGCCAGTCGCTATACCGATTACACTATCCCGCCTCATTTCTACATGTTTGAACCCTGCTCAATTCAAACTTACTATACAGACTTAAGAGGTTATGTGCCGTCCCATGACTGCTGAATTGCGCAGGGCAGGGAATGACGTGGGAAGGTAAAGTTGCCACACTGTTAATAAGCATCACGCCATGAAGACGTATGAGAGAGTAGATGCGTTGTTATGCATACTTGACCTTAGCTCTACATGGAGTCTTACCTATTAAGTTGCTCTCCAGGCAACTACTGGAAAAACAGAACTGTAGAGTGTCCGAGATTCGATTCCCGGGCCTAGATTCCAAACAAAGATCTCTCGAATTCCAAACAGATAGGCAAACCTATACACTTCTAAACGAAGTTTGTGAAATGTGAAAACTGATGCCGTTTGGGATGTGAGGACGTGTAGTCTGACAGAACGCTACCAACTGTTGCAGGATACCCTGAAGATAGAGACAGCTAATTTATGCGAAACATTAACGGCTCTTTACCTGACTACTTAGGAGCATATCCCAGGTAATAATTATCTTCATTGCTACTCAGTGATGGCCTCTGACGAAGGAGGCCTTACTATCATCTCACTCGCCATCCAAGGATCAGTCCTTACAGAATTCGATCAAGTTTTAACGTGTAAGGGAAAACGTCTGAAAGACCTCACATTCAAACGTAACAATGTATGTTCCCCTTTGTGACATGATACTGGACTCCTTAGAATCAAGGAAACCTCAAATTATACGGGAGATTTTAATTGTCCGTAATATATGTTAATTAAAACCGGAATCATGTTCCCTAAATCATATTGAAATCATTAATTCTGTCTAATTATCGATGCGATTGTATTACGTAATATGATACTATCACTTATTTTTATTTACCTCAATTACAGACAAATTATATTTAATTTTGTCAGAACTTATTTTAAAAGAACTGATTTGGTGAAAATCTTCTTGTCTCTTTCCTAGACTCTGAAATGTCAATTTCATTGGGAAAGTAAAGGCTCTTTCTAACATGATTAATTTCAAGTTACTGAGCCCGCTATGGAGTAAACAACATTTATTTCAAGAGTAGAACTACTCGTACATTTAACGTTTGTGTTTATGCAATAAAACGTATTCGTTAACCACATTCACAATAAATTGCCTCCAAATTAGTCGTATGGACACTTCCGTCTCTTTCAATTTAGGATAAATTTTACAATAATTATATCCATAAATGACTTGTGACTACCCTTCCGCCTGTAGCACCACAAGAATTGTGACCGTAAGCTCAGAACTGATAAATGTTGGACGGACTGCGT